GATTTATCCAACACTTGAGGTTAAACACATTCAAAATTGTTGTTACTATGGCTCTCAAGCTTCAATCTTACTTCTTCATTCTGCTTTTTGACAATTGTATATATTGTGTGATACATACCTCTTGCTGGGGAATACTGAGCCAAAATTGGACTTCTGTAGCGCTGTCTTTTCTTTGCTACTTGCTAACATTTCACTATTTTCACTGAGAAGCCGGTAAATCAATGTGTTCCTTTTATTCTGGACACATCAAAACAAACTTTTGTTGTTGTTCTGAGCATCCTTCACAAGCATCACTTTAATACAAGATATTTCTAACACTTTAACTACAGTTGTTTAATTTAGTGCCTAACCCAGAAAAATCTAAAATGGGATTTAGCACATTCAGTCATTCAGAATGAGTCTAAATCCTCTGTCCTATGCAATCTTGTGTACAGCAATGCTTACGGTGAGAAATTAGTTTTCTCTAACTCTAACTAACCCTAATAGTAACCCTGATAATTTATTCATCTTTAAATGACATACTGTATTCTCTACCTCTCAGATTAAACCAGATTGCTTGGTTCAGGTTTTTTTTTAACATACATACAAAAAGTTACAAATCTATTAATCATTGTAAACAATATATACTTCAACGATATGTACTTCAAAGAACGTATTTGATCCCTATTAGTAAAGAAACAGGCACGTGTTGTGAAAATGTAGAAAATGAGTGAATCTTTTAAAAAGTGATAAATATGAAAATATATCTCTGTGTATGTACAGACATAGGCATAGGCATAGGCCAGGGGTGGGTTTCGACCAGTTCGCACCGGTCCCTGCGATCCGGTTGGTCACCGAACCCAGAAGTAAGTAACTTCTGGGAACGGCGAAGCCCCGCCGCCCACGCGCGCCCGCACACCCGTTCCCCCCTCCTTACCCGTTTTTTTCGAATTTTGCGCTTTCCACGCATGCGCAGAATGCCTGCGCGATCCTCCAGGAGCAGCTGGAGCATCGCGCAGACGCTAGTACGCATGCGTGCGCCGCGTGCGTGCGCGAGGACGCCGCCGGCCTCGTTCCAACCGGGCGAGAAACCCACCCCTGGCATAGGCATGCATACACAACCACCCTATTAAATGTGTCATGTTTTTTCTTTTCTTGTTTTAAATGTAGTATCTCTGGATGTCTGCTCTCCCAGTTAATAGTGTCTTTGTGTTCTTTTATATGTAATCTGCCAGTGGTTATGAATATAGGATTCATCAGCTAAGGATTTAACTTAAGGACCAGTTAAAGAGACATATGTTTGTAGAAGTGGTAGATCTTTGTTTAAGATTTATCTGTAAACTAGCCGAAGGCAGATTTAGTTTGAGTTAAACAATTGGGCATAATTCATACCTTGTTTACTCTTAAAGCAATAAAATGTTATTCTATCATACCTAAAATCTTCATCTCATAGTGTGCAGAATGATTAAAAAATGTATGAAATTATGCGGGGAGAAGTAAATGATAGGGTTTTCATCCATGTGTACTATGCCCCAGGAACATTTTACAAAATACTTTGTAAGAAAAATATCTCACATCTGGGTTTTACCAGAAAGACTATGCAGTCTATAAGTTCAGCACAATCTCTTTTAAACCTGGGATTGTTTAACTGGAAATATGTCTGTCTAGTGTTTAAAGAAATACACCAATGTGTGTCAAAATCTCACAAAAGCAGCAAAGTTTGATTAAATTAAACACATTCACTGAAAATTTTCACATTTGAAATACAGTAGCTCTGCTTTAATTGAATGTTCTAAGACTGGCTACTGAGTTTGCAAGGTCTATTCTTTGCCATTAGATGAATAGGTGGTGTAAATATTGATGATATATAGTTGACAAAGAAGAGAGAGAATAGAGAGGGAGGGAGGGAAATAAAGGGAAAGGGAAAAGGAGAGGGAGAGGGAGAAAGAGAGACAGAGACAGAGAGACAGACAGAGACCCAGGAGTAGACTGTTATGGGTTCACCTGGGTTCGGGAGACCCCATAGCTAATGTTATGGTTGGTTATGGTCCAAACCCTGCCCCTGGATGGCCCTGTCTCACCCCACCCTCACCCTCCCAGGATTCTCCATGCAATCCATTTTGGATGCAAGGTAAGTGCAGGGTTTGTGCAGATGCTTCAGGAGAGGGAAAAACAGGCGTCCTGAAAGTTCCTGTCTTAGTTTCCAGTTTCTGGACGCCTCTGGAACCTGGGGGAGGCAGTTTTTGCCCTCTCAGAGGCTTGACAAAAGCCTCTGGAGCCTGGGGAAGGCAAAAACAGACCCTCTGCTATGGTGCAGTAGGCTGACTAGACCACGCCCACCATGGCCACACCCACCCAGCAACTCTTGCTGAAATTTTTGGAGAGACCTTTCTAGTCATTGATGGATAAGCCCCTGTAGGGTATTTTTTGTAAGATTTGTCATTGCTTCCTTCCTAAATCTGATATACCTAAAGTTGGTTCATGCCTAGGGTGGGATGAACTCCTGGTTTCTAGTCCAGCATTTTAATTTTTACACCAAACTAGTTCTCAAAAATATATGTTAGTCCCATAAAAATGCTTTATTTTTACAGCTTTACTAGCAATTAAAAGTTCACATTGAGATTTAACTCTCAGATGGAGCTGAATTTAATTTTAATGCAGACTGTTGATTATGTTTTCACTGAAATGTTTTTCATATGTTGCATAACAAAATAATTTTGTTCCAGTAGATTTCAGCCTAATATGCCATAATAAATTTGAATGACACAGCAGAGGTAAAATGATAATTTTATGACTTATGAAGTGCACCTTCATTGACTTCTTCTCAAAAAATGTGGCAAAAGTCAGCAATGTAAAATAAGTGTTTTGTCAAAATGATACAATTACATTTCTGTTAGCAGAGGTTTCTTAAAAGTTGACTGTTAGTTGGTTTTCATGAGATCCTGAATTCTACCAAACCATACATATGCATCAAAAAGATGCACTTATTTTAGAAAACAAGCTAAACATATTACTAAATATTTGCCATGAAGTAAAGATTTGTCTAAGTTTCTTCAATATAATTATTTTCCTTGAAGGCCACACAACTCTGGCAAGGTGTTGAAAAAGATATGGAATGAAGAGCAATATGTGTATGATTAGATTGATCCTACATTTCCTTACACAAAGGCTTTGAGATTTTGAGGAATTTCATTCATAAAAATCCATTCTCACAACTTTCATATGATTCTATTTTTTTCTAACACACACTCTCTTCTCTGCATAGCAATTACACACAGAAAAACAAAGGAAATGAGTGATAAAAGTACAAAATTAATATGAACTCTAGAAATGGTATATGTTCTCCTTTAACAATTATAATTAACAAAATAATAGAATTGGAAGGGATCTTGGAGGTCTTTTAGTCCAACCCTCAACTCAAGTAGGAGACCCTATATCATTTTTCAGACAAATGATTGTCCAATCTCTTCTTTAAAACCTCCAGTATGAAGCATCCACAACTTCTGTAGGTAAGTTGTTCCACTTGCTCTAAATCAGTGGTTCTCAACCTGTGGGTCAGGATCCCTTTGTGGGTCGAACAACCCTTTCACAGGGGTCGCCTAAGACCATTGGAAAACACATATTTAAAAAAAAAATACAGAAAACATAAAATAATTTTATGACTGGGGGTCACCACAACATGAGGAACTGTATTAAAGGGTCACAGCATTAGAAAGGTTGAGACCCACTGCTCTAAATAAATGTTTGCGTACCTGTTTAATATACAAAAGGTATGAAAATATATGTGTATCATTGTAGAAATTGTAAAATGGACATATAATGTACAACTACCTATGTTAAAAAAAGTAATATGTAGCTTGAAAATGGAACTGCTATCATAACTGCTATCATAACTAATATTACTTTTTAATGAGTTTTAATTGCTATTGTGTACTTAGTGGTAGTGTTAAAGTACATAATGGTGAGGTTATGACTCAGAATACAATTATATAGTATTATGATTCAGAATAAAATTGCTTTATATATAAAGTAAAAATATGGTTTCCTTCACATAAATGTTCATACAATCTTATTTTTAAATGGCCAAAAAAAAGAAAAGAATGTATGAATAATAAGCGACATTTACGAAAAGACGCATGTTATCATGTACAAATTGGTTTAGATAGGAATACTTTTTAATTAGGAAGGATTTTTCTTTCTATGATGAGTAAATTTAGACTCTTGTTACTATTTATTAAAATACAAATCCCAGACTTGGAATACATCAGCATTCATATGCAAACACTGGCAATCTCACACATATGTTATGAGAGACCCAAAATATAAGTACAACAGTGAATGTGATAATATGCATGCACTGCATAATTATCTGCAAATCCTGCTCATTTCAAGGGAAAAGTGATTATTAAAACCTTGAGTCAAATAATTGGCAGGAGATTCTGTGGCTGTGTAGGTGGATTGTGGGTTAACACAGAGTCAGTTGTGCATGTTTGGCCACAGTTTATTTCGGCTTGCATCTGTTAGTTATTCTGTAACCAAGCAAAGCTTGTGCGCAGTCTTTTGTGGTTTTTAAGCAAGAATTATGCAGAAAAATATGCTCTAAAGTAATTATATCTGCAAAGAAACCAAGGATCCTTTTCCCTTTTATTCAACACTTAGAAAGACAAGGAGGTGATGGTTTATAAAACGTTTCAAATCCAAACCCTTTTAAGTTCAAGACAGGAACTCCAAACAGACTTGAAACAGAGTTTCTTCTTCTGCTATGGAATAATAGCAAACATATACCGATGCCCTAAGATAACATTTTGAAGATAACAGTTGGACTTACTGTATATATCTAGTCAGGAAAAAGTGGTACAATCTCTTGGCTTTTGTTTTGTACTTTGGTTTTTGCTTTGTTGTGATCATTTATATCCCTATTCTCAACTATAAAAAGGGCCCTCAGAATGGCTAAGAAAGCAATTAAATTAAGAAAGTAAATTAAAACAATAATAATGAAAATAAAATTCAGTCACAATCTATTACATAATACATTGTTTTACTATTAAATATGTGTTAATGAGAAATGCCATCTTTTGCTGGGATCATAAACTGGCATAGTTAAGAAGTTTGTACTTTCAAACAAATCTCAACAATTGCAGTGATAAATTGTAAATCAGGCAAAACTGTTCCATGTTGGTTGGGAATTGTAGAAATGATATCCCAACCCATTCAGAAGAAGACATGTTAACCTTCTGTATTGTAGGATTACTGAAAGTGATGCTGAAATATGTCTTTACTATGTGACAAGTATTTCTGTTGATTCTGATTTGCTTTCATTGATTTTCTTGATAAATATAGCTTTTGAATTTTCATTTGCAATTTATACATACATACACACACACCTACATACATGCATACATACACACAGATATGCATCTTTACATAAATGCATGCCTATATCCAACTGAAGTGCCTTGAAAATTGATTTTTTAAAATAAACATATAACCACTTGATATTTAATATAATTGACTGTTATTTTTCTCATTTTAATTTTCATATATGTGGCAAACTTCTCAAGCATTCTAGTGTTTTCCCACCTTTTATTGCAAGATTATGAAAGCAATTCGATTTAAAACTTTCTGCAATATACAGCAAACTTTCTTAAACATAAATATATTTGCTTCTTTGTTTTCTGGAATATTTATTCTCATTTTGTGGTGAAAACGTATTTAATAGGAAAACATTAAATCACAACTATAAAAGGAATTTGAAATATTTGGCAGCTTTTTGGTGGATTTGTATTGGTCTACAAATCAGGCAAGAAGTTATTCAAGATCCAGTATTCTGTATAATGGAGCAAAACATAATATAAGACCAAATGACATTGGTCCAATAACAATGATATTGTTATTTTTGTTTTATTTGACTTATATCAATAGTTCATGCATGATTCTGTGATCTATTGAGAAACTCCCAGTTCATTTCCTATTTCAAGTCATGCATTGTTAATTCCTCACTGGCCAAGATTAAGATCCTGATACCTGGATTGTAAAAACAACCGTATTTCATTTGCAATTGGGCAAGTCATTAAATAGCAACATTAACTAACAATAACATCTTATTCAATAAAGTGTATATATTTTGGGAAGCATATATATGACCACTGAATCAGACATACTTTTTTTTACATTCTGTTGCTTTAAATTACAGAAATAAATGTTAAGAGCAGAGCACTTGTCATTTATAGTATCACTGAATCCAAAGCTGAAAAGATGCAATAGTCTTGCTGTTCTTTCATCACTGCCTTTTAGTTATACTTCATATCTGATATCTTTATTTGTTCTTCAAGTTTGATTCCACTAAATGAAATGTTGGGACAACAGAATGTGCTGTGAACCAGAGAAAATAAATAACAGGACTGAGTTTGGTGAGAAAATCTTACTATGAACAACTGTAATGTTATGATATCAATTTTGCAAATAAAAGTTTTGAACACATATGAAAAGAGTCAGAGAAGGAGATGTGAAATATATTTTTGGAAAATATAGTTGGTTTTAAGCGAGGTTGAACATGATACTATTTGCCCTGTTCAACCCTGTGTATCTTTATTTTTAAAAGATACTAAATTGTTTGAGGGAGTTGGGAGAAATAGCAGGTTTTTTTAAAAAGGATGAGAATCAATAACAGGCAACTCCAAGATAAGGGTTTTCTTTGAAAAATTGTATTAATTTATTGACTTTATCAAAAAGATTAAGGATTGTAGAATAGGACCTACCTTGTTAGATGACATAGATGACAGCAATACTTATCTCTCTTAGTTTAAAGAATCTTAGGGGGAGGTCATTTTGATGATAAAAGGAAGAAGAGTGTTAAATTGTATTCATTGTCTTGAGTGCCTGGAAAAAGAAAAAGAGAGATATAACTATAATAGTTAAATTAGTATGACTAAATCAACTAATTTTTTATATGCGATAAGATTGCTGATATGCAAGAACAATTGACCTCCATACGTAGTCTGAAATAATCATCATAATCATCTTCCTAACATTTTACTCACAGGAGCAGGGTCTGCTTTTTTGACCAACAAACACCATTTTACATGATCAAACTCAGCATGCAGGTCATGTCTGCATTTTGATGGAGTTGGCTGTAGATCCATAGCTTACAATCAGAAAATTGACCAACCGTCTTATCACCTGGGCCTGACATTGGTTCGGGCTGTGTTCAGCTCAGCACCGCCATGGCAGAAGGGTAGTATTCAGGGGGACCACGAGGAGCAGCAGACCTCACCATCACATTGTTTGAAATAATAAACATCAGCATAGATTTGTCCAATAAAATATGCTGATCTTCCTTGTTTCCCCTACATATTTAAAATATGTGACTATTTGTTGTCATGTAAAGAGTCACGGAAGCAAAATAAATTGAATTATGAAAAAAAAATTAGTACTTTATATCTGGATCTACAACACAGGGAGATTAAAGATATATTTTCAGTTCTTTTCTATATCTCTCTCTGTCAATTTTGCTGTGAGCTATGCTGTACTAAAATGACAATTATACCATCTTACTATTTACAGATACTATCAATGTAATAGACACCGATAAAGAAAACAACCCAGTATATTAAGTTTCCTTTTCTGTGGTCTTGAACATTCACTGGGCATTCTAAACATGTTTCCTGAGTTTATAGTATGTTTAGGCATTCATGGAGCTTATTCATAGAAAAAATGTACCCTATCAGTCTAATATTAGATGCCTTTCCGATAGTGTTTCTCTCATAGATGTATATGTGAAAGTTTCATTGGAAGGTTTCAAGGTCTTTTAGTGAAATGAGAGAATTATAGGCTTTGGTGGGGTTGTTTGGATCAAATGTAACTTCCTACTCCTCAAAGACTTGCAATTGCAACATTCAAAACAGATGGTTGATCAATCACTGAATAAATTCAAAAAAAGGGTTCCCACCACCCCTCTGTGTAACTAGTTCCATCGTCAAACTGTTCTTATTGTTAGAAAATCTTTCCTAACATTCATCTGGAATTTGCACTCCTGTAATATAAAACCATTGTTCAGGGTCCTGCCCTCTGTGATGATAGAGAACAGATCTTGCCTTCTGTGTGGTATTTTTTTCAGGTATTTGAAAAATATTATTATATTCCCCTCAACATACTCAGTCTTCTAGTTCCAAAACTAAACATTTGCAGTTCCTTCATTCTATCTTTGCAAGACTGCATTTCTATAAACCTGATCATCCTTATTCTCTTTCTATCAATAGTAGATATAAGGTGTGATCTAATGAAGAAAGGGGACAATTAGTTCCAATCAGTTGGAAATGTTATTTCTGTTGATGTAGCAATACAATTTACCTTGCTCACATGCTTGTGACACTGCTATCTAAACCTAATTGAGCACATCGAAGAAAAGAGTGGGTTTCCTTCTAACTGGGATTGCATTTGCATCATTAAACATAGTATAATGCACTATATTTTTCTTGTATATAAAACGCTATTTCTTTTCAGTGCTTGATCTACAGTGCACAATTTTTTTATCTTAATTAAAGATATTTTATAGTATTAATAACTTTAACATAAGTTATGTTAGAGTTATTGTGTTATGTGTATTTTGGCAGTGTGTATATGTATGCTTATGAATATGTATTATTTGTTTTTAATAACACAATTCTGGGTTAGATATCCTTTGGTTTGATAGGACAGATTTTCTTACTTTCTTTCTTATGCTCTCAAGATAAAGCAATTATTGACTTTACAGCGGTAGAGACTAACTTGATTCTGCACCTAATAATGGCAGCAAGACTGTTGGTGGCGCAATACTGGAAGAA